TCGTAGCTTTGAAGCATGTTGCTACAGGAAGATACTTGAGTTCAATTGAAGGTATATGTTATACAACTGGAAGTAAATATCAAGCGGTATGTTTTTTTTTATAATAATAATGTTATTATTACGATGCAACTTTACATAATTAACTTTCATAATCATAACAAATCTAGGTTTTTCTAAGTAATTTAGAGCTGGAGTCGAATGGGTTGTGGATAATCAAAGTTCATAATCCGCATTTTGATAATAAAGAACTTGCTTCTTACACTAACAATACTGCTTTAAGTTTCCAACACAAAAGTTCTGATAAGTTTCTTGGAATTAGCCATTTCAATATTAATTTATACCGAAGTACTTACCATAAATCTCCATCAACCGAGCACACAGAAGGAAACATTAATATTTTTGTTATTATTATTGATAAAAAATTAAATTAATATTTATTATTAGTGAGTTGTAATGAACAAACTAGATGGAGTTTTGGTAATAATACGTTAAAAAATTGTCAAGGGTATTTAAAATCAAACGATGTTATTAATCTTAGTACTATAGTTGTAAATGGAAAAGAACAAAAAGAACAAATTTTACGTAGTCATGATTTTCAGTTTACTATAAAAACGATACTTTTCAAGAAGTTGTTTGTCACAACGAAAGATTAGGAGGCAATGATGAGGTAATTTTTATTTTATTTTTTATTTTTGGTATATATTTTGATATTCAAAAAAAATTTCTCTTTTCTCTTCCTAGTGGTGTATTGAGCTTATCAAGCAGTGTTAATGGCAAAAATTATTCATTTTATTCATTACGTTTATTTTTTGTACAAATATTACAAATAAAATGAAATATAACTCTTTGGGTAATTACCATAAGCTAAAAGTATACCATTATGCATGTAGAAATTATATTCAATGTAATGAATAGAAATTTTGCAATTAAATTGTCATTCGAATTTGATTATTTGAATTTATGTCAAAATTAGGTGTGGATATATTAACACGAGGATGATCAGTACTGATAAATCTCTTCTCACAAAAAAGAGATGTTTAGAGTAAATTATTATTAACATATATTTTTCTAATATCATTTTCGAATCAAATTCTTTATTCTAATTGAACTAGTCTTCGATCAAATGATTCACATATATAGAAAAAAATTTTCAATTATAATTAACTTCTAATTTTTTAACTTAATAAATTTTTTTGTAATTTTATTAAAATTTTAATATTTCTAAATTTCCGGTGTAACCGATGTAAAGATAATTATATTTGCAGATCACTCTTTGGAATATGGATAATGTTGATGTTGCAAGAAAGATAGAGATGCTTTTAATTGCTATTGGACGACCCCAAGTATAATGAATTGGAAATGTTGCTACGTCTAAAGTGAAATAACTTCGACTGCGTAATTCAATTTGTAGGAAAACAAAACAATGAAATAAATAAATTTTGATTAATAATCAATATAAATAGTCATCTATCACCGTTTCCAATAAATAAATATCATTTGCCAATAAATAATATTGATTTCTTCCCCGCTGTTGACATACATGATATTTAATTATTGGTGAGATTCGTTTATAATGATTGTATTCTCCCACACATATGAAATATTAATTAATGTATATGTTTATATGTATCTTGACAATATAAAATTTGGTTCATAATGCTTGACCATAAATTTCGTAAACTTTTCAACATGTGTTGATTTAGGTTGCATATTTCTATGCCAGTTAGTCTGGTTACTCATAGAACTTTATTGGGAATTACTTAGTTCTCAAAATATAGTTGCGGGGCAAAACCCTAAACCCATTTTGGCAAAAGTCGAAACTTTTCAGAAATTATTTCGACAGTTTCGATGGGTTTCGATGGGTTTCGACGAGTTTCGACGAGTTTCGATGAGTTTCGATGGGTTTCGATGGGTCTCGAAAGTTTCGACAGTTTCGATAACAACTTTGCGAATTTGACGGTTTTAACAGATTGATTGTATCACAATGTAGAATAAATTAGATCAAAGTTTCAAAATAATGCATTATTTATCGAGTAGTTTTAAATTTGGAAGCACTGGTACTTGTTGAAGAATTAAAAAAATTACCTTATGAAGAAGATGATAATAAAGGCTGGAACCGGGTTTATTTTTATATTCGGATTTATTTACTTTTAAAATCAGATCCGGATTTAAAATTGAATATTTAATCTCTATTTCAAAAACTGTACAGATCAAATAAATTTTTCTAAAGATTAATAATTATAAATATCATATACCCGGCTTTGGGCCAATTTTGTATCTGAAACTGGATATATCTGGGTTAAATTGAAAAATAAATTCAATGTGATTTTTGTTTCTTATACATATAAATATATGATATTAAAAAGAAAGAGATCTTTGTTATAGATTTGCTCATCTTCGTAAAACAAAAAAATAATAAATTTTTAAATTCAAAAATAGTATTTTAATATCAAATGGGTTTTGCCACCCGTCGAAACTTTCGCAATTTTGCCTTAATAAAATATTTGGCAAAACGTCGACGAGTTTCGATTTCGATGCCTATCGAAACCTCCGGGTTTTGCCCGGCAACCTTATCTCAAAAGGTGGGTAACCTTAGAGAATAATGATAATTCTACTTATTTGTTATATTAGCCAAGACTAAGTTAGAAATTGACGCCACAATGGATATCCATTGGATTTTTTTTTTATGAACCGCCACTTTTTTTTGGAGTATTGTTACTATTAAATGTAATTCCGGCCGAAATCTTCATAACTTCGCTTGAAAATCGTTCTTGATAATTATAGTTAGTCCCTTTGACGATCATTTTCCAGACTGTCACGGCGCCAGTTTGTCAAGGTGCCAGTATGACAAATGGTCAAAATTCCAGGCTGGCTTAATTAAAATTTCTTTATATATATCGAGCCGGAAATCCTAAAACAGCTCAATATCCCATGCTCGCCTTTATTATATTTCTTTGAAAAACATTCCCTTCGCAATCCTCCTTTTACACCCTTGCGATAATTTCGATTTCGCCCTTTTAATTTTACAATTTCGCATTTGTAATAGCGTTTATTATTTTTATTTTAATTTCCGATTTTATTAGTACATTCTTAATCAATTTTTATGTAACAGTTTCGTAATTGCATAGTTTAATTAATTAGAATTAGTATTTGGCATTTATAGAGTTTAAAATATTGATATAGCGAAAGTGTAGAGCGCCGACGTTGAGGCAACACTGATTAATTTGATATTATTAAATAAATACTTGTCACAATTACTTATCAATAAAAACCATCTGCTTACATTACAAATTGTTTTATAAATACATAAACGAAAGAACTGAATACAACAATATATTGTTACTTTTTTCGATAACAAATTTTATTACCACCTCATTGCGTTGTTTCACACTGCATTCTTGCGTCTCAAACGGATTGACGTTTCCCGTAGAGTTTGATTGGGAGCTTGATGATTGCGGTAATTAGTTGAAGCTGGGATTGGATGTCACTTATTTATTATATTATTATTTTTTTTTTTTTATAATGATTTCACATTGTTAACGTAACATGAACAACTTACACTATAAATTTATTAAAGGGATTAATCCTTTATTAATTCAAAATATAAAAAATATGGATTTAAACAATTTAATAATATAATAATATCAATTCGCCAAAGTAAAACAATAGAATAAAACTAATAGAATTGAAAACTCATTATTTAGTAACTTTTTTTTATTCATATAAAAAATGTTAATAATTGAACATTTGTATTGAATATATTTCTTCCCATTTCCAAAAAATGATTGATGTAAATTTCCATTCTTTACTTTTTTCTCGACAAGCCATTGTTGTACATAATTACTGTCACATTCATTGGGAATACATAAAAGCTTAGTTTGGCAGTCAGGTAAAATTGACAGGCGGAATAGTGCAATTTTGTAATTCCATCATCGCTGTTGCGAGTGAGGATATGAAGTTCATTTTGAAGAACGTTGAAGAATCCGGAAATATCAGCTAAAGCTTGAATAATGTTGTGAAGTGATGTATGGAGAACATCTCGAATAATGTGTGTGGTGGCTACAGCCAACTTTGATTCTTCTTCATTTGCAATTGTATCAACCTTACCACAAGTTCGGAAAGTTTTTTTTTTGAGAAAGGAGTGTCAACTTATCTACAATAAGATTATTTCATTTTACGTGTTGTGTATAGAAGATTAAATAGAATTAGTGTCATGTGTGATCAAAGAATGATAGGCTGGGGCTAAATTGTTTTAGTTAGAAATTGGGTAATAAATTAATACGTATGATCAAATATTTCATATATGAATAGTATGTTCGAATAATTTTGGATCTAATCGATCGAACGTTTCAAAAAATAATTCGATAAGCGGTCATCAGCATCAGCTAAAAAGGTTGTAACTATGAGTCAAATACAGTATGACGTCTCGTTACGTATATATAACGAGTTTATGACTTAAAAAATAATTACTAAACTCTTCTCACTTTCCCATTCTTTCCATTCTTTGCGGTTATAGTAAAATGGTTTTATCTTTATAGTGTCATTCTAGTTAATCTTCTTACGAACCCTTTCTCGATTCTCATTCCCGAATTATTGGTGAAGTAAAATTCGGTATTAACAAATCACTTTTGGGGATTTAAAAAAAAACTGAGATGTAAACAAAACCCGAATATCTTCAAAGCATATGAGGCTGTAAATTGAACCTATGGAAGGTTAAGGTTTCAGCGAAGGAAACAATGTTTGGATAACTTAAAATCTTGTCCGAGGAGGAGTACCCTTAAATCAAAATCATTGAAGAACTCGAAGGCGAGATTTTGCCCGCAAATGAGAATGTTCTGGGTTCTTCACGTTTAATTTCAAATTATATCATCATCGTGCAACCTCCGACTCCCGCTATCACTGGTAAGTTTCTCCCAATGATTTACCTCTTGAACAAGAAATTTGCAGTCCATTTCGATTCTCATTCAACTCACATCCTTTCAGCAACCACATTAGCTGCTATGCTTACTTCGCAACATCCAATCGACAAAGTTTTAATTACAAGTTCTATGGTCGCAAAACAAGCTATGGATAAGACTGCAAAATTTGCCAACAATAATTATCTCAAACGCTTGAGTAGTAATCATAAAGAATAACAATTTATATTGATTCTTGGTAGATCAGGAATAGAAAATCGCGAGCAGGAATGAAGTCAAACTCCCTGGTCCCCCATGTAGAAAAATCAATATTGGTAAATTTAACTGTTGAAATAGAATCGTCTAAGGCTGCCCTTAATGATCCCATTTATATATTTATCGATTTAATTGATGGACATTATGCAAAAGGACGAATAGGAGTGCGTGTTGCGATAGCTGCGGGCTTGATAGACAATACGCCAAATTTCATTGAGCTCTATTGTTTGATAATGTGATACAAGCCGCCGTTTCAAAGCAAAAGGTCGACCTCTTGAAGCTGTCATTATACATATCAAAGATACATTGATTTCGTTCACCATGGGAGGACGCCCGAATCTTCTTCAAAAATTTGCTAAAAGTGATTGGTGCTGTTATGCACAGTCAGTAAAGATGAGGGAGGAACGAAACCTCTTAATAACAGTCGAAACTTAAACGAAACTATATTAAAAATCATAATAAGGGTACGACGAAAGTCGAAACTTTCGAAACTATATTAAAAACATAAAAAAGGATATGACGAAATTATTTTGAGGATTTTTCGGCAGGCATCTATAGCAGTTAGGCTACAACAAGCAAGAAGGTATTGGGGAATACTTTATTATCCTGGTTTGCACTGGAACATCAGCTATTGATGTTCATTTTTTACATACAGAATATACCAAAATTCTGGTGCATCTCAAACCTTTGGATTATATCTCAGCATACATGATGTTTCTTGACAAATATCAATACTCAAAGCAAACCACCA